GATATATATATATATATATATATATATATATATATATATATATATATATATATATATATATCATCTCCAGGAAAATGTGAAGGAGTTTCCTTTTGATTTTTGACTCCAAGCTTATTTGAAAGGACAGGAAAGTCTTACCTAGGTACAAGGATGCGTTTTCTTTCTTGACATTGTCATCTAAGTAGGTTGGTCCCAGTGTGTAAATCGGTGTGGAGCCCATTCCAATGAGAATCTGTGCGCAAATGAATAAAACCACATAGACCCAGTGATTATTGCCTCCCGAGTCCTTCAGGCAGGTGGGTGCCTCCAAGGTCACCGTGGAGTTGCCATTCTGACACAGGCCGTCGTTGGAGGCAGAGGCGTTCAATTCTTGAATCTGATAGGGAGGCGAGATGAAGTGAGGTAAAGCGAAGAGGGCAGCCCCGACGGCGATAAGAAGTCCACCCACGGCCAGCCACAGGGGCCGCCGACCCCGGCCGCCAAAGTAGCTGACGAACACCACCACCACCAGGCTCCCGATGTCAAAGCAGCTGACCAGCAGCCCTGATTCGGAACTCTTCAGACTGTAGCGCCTTTCGATGGTGGTGATGACACTGCTCAGGTACCCGGAGACCATCAGCGCCTGGATGAAGGTCAGGAAGCACATGCAAACCAGGAAACAACGGGAATCGGTGAGGACCATATACAGGCACCTTCTCCCCTGGAGCATGGCCAACGTGGAGGACACCGATATGGTTTTGCTGACTTCCACCCTGTGGTTACAGTCCACGAGCCCTGCCATCTCTGCCGAAGTGGACGGGGCAGAGGGGCTGGGCGCCAGCCGGCTCGGGCCTTGTTTCAGCTCCTGGTGGCTCAGAGAATCTGTACCGCCTGGCTTGGAGCCAACACTCACAGGACTGAGGTCTGACCTACAGGAGGCGCTGTTCAGGTCGGGTAAACTCTTGGACCTAAAGGTCTCTTCGCCCTGCTGTTGGACAGCTCCTGCTGTGTCCGGGGCTTCCAGCTGCTCTCCCGTCTGGGGCTGCAACCCAGCGCCTTCGTCCATGGCTCCTAGGATTCAGATCCGATCGCTGATCGCACTCGAGGACCCCAGCGCTTTTCATCCACCCGCACGAGAAGCCGAAGCCGGGCCCACGTAGTCGTACCCACCAGGGACCGGGGCTGAGGGCTGCAGAGGCCGGCAGCAGGACATCCTCACCAGCAGGGAGGCGCCCAGGGCATCCTGACCGCAGACGCGGCCCCGAGGCTCCGCAGCCGCGTGCCCCGGGGGACAGGGGTCCTCGCGGTCCTGCGATGAGCCCTGCTTGGGGTCCACCTCGGGGCGGTAGCTCGCGAAAGGAGCCTTGCGCGTCCCGAGTGCATCCCCTCCGCCGCCGCTCGGCCTGCCGCCGGGAGCGAAAACGCCCGGTGCCCAGCGTGGGGGCGCTTAGTGCTGATGTCCACGCCGCATCCTGCTGGGCTGGCTGGGCCAGAGGCGTCTTGTTCTTGCCGCCTCGGCTCGACACACCCTCGGGCACAAAGATGCCAACCTGCAAAGCAGAGAGAGGGCGATCAGCGAAGGGCTGCTGCCACTGGGGCTGGCATCCCGGAGCCCCGGGGGCCAGCGCTGGGTGACTTGGAAGGTCCCACTTGGGACCGAGGGACGAGCGAGGAGCGAAACCCTGGAAGAGGAAGGGGCTGCAGGCTGCAGGCTTGACTGCCGGAACAATAAGCAGCAGGCGGTCGGCAGAGACCCTCCCCCATTGTCTACCTCTGACCTGCCCCGCCCCGTCCCTTTTTGCCTTTAAACAGCGCGTCTGCTTTTATACGTTAGTAATTATCAACTTAGCTCTGACTCAGAGGCAGTGTCTTTTATTCGAGTGAACTAATTGCAACCTTTTGGTACTCCTACTCCATTACTCAAAATAGAAAATGCCCCAAAGAACAAAGGAAAGTTCTTTTTACAAACACAATGCATTCCCAGTTCCAATTTTCCAAGGGAAAAGAGAGAGGGGAAGCTACGTGTGCAGAAATGTGTGTGTACACACTTGTCCGCAGGCACGTGTGCAGGACGGGATGGGAATCCGTCCGCTCCATCAACTGGAGGCACTTCTTCAAAGCCTTACGGCAGCCACAGAAAAGGTCAACGTGCTTGCCTCTTTATTCCCAGCACTAAAAATAACCCCCCCACACCCCAGCCCAAAAGTACTATTCAATTACAAATACCAGGAGCATTTGAGGTCACGGCCCACACGAAGCCCCAGCGCTGCGCAGCGTCAAGCGAAACCGAAAATCAGTTTGTTCTGCGCAGGGGTGGGGAAGCCACAGGCAAACAAAGAGATACGAGCACGCTGTCACAGAGCGCGCTGCGAGCCCACGGAGCCGTCCTGGCAAGAGCCCGGCCCGCGCAGAGGTGTGCTATTTACATCGAGTACACCCCACGAGCGTGGGCCCGGGGTGCGCGGGCGAGCGCGCGCGC